AAAGTGTTCCATAATGCAACATTAATTTCTTTGACGACCTAATGAAATATTTGTATTATGGCTATATGCTTCAATAAATGCATGATTATGCCAGCAAATCTGTAACAAAATAATGTAAAATTATACCATTTCTACAGAAGAATAAATAATGTCATTTTAAAGTAAAAATGTCTGCAACCATAGCATCCAAAAGTATTGGGAATATTCTGTCTATTGGATATAATCAAAACAACAGATGGGAAACTAGAAAGAAAGCTACAGATTCAATAAGGGGTTAAGATCTATGTGCTGGAATCCACAATGTCCTAGGCCCGACCACCACTAGCTAGTTGTGGGTCTGATAGTTAGTCGTAAATATAAAGAAACAGAAATCAACCACCCTCGATTTCTATCAAAAATTATATTACCCAACCTCCACCCTTTTACTTATAGTTGTAATAATATATGACGTTGTACTTTTAATACTGTTATAATATATATGATGTTCTAAACTATAAACCCACCCCTATAATTTTGATATTCCTATATGATTTCTATTTTAATGCATTTAGGGGTAACTATCATGCTCACAACCAATTATAGATGGTTAGTGGTAGTGGTATTTGGGATGTTGTGGGTTCTAGCACTCAGATCCTAACACCCTACTGAATCTGTAGTTTGCTTTATAAGTTTGCACCTGTTGTTTTGATTATGTATGACATTTGGAATATCCCCAATGTTTTTTGGATGCTGTGACCATAGACATTTGCACTTTAAAATTATACCATTTATATTTTTGTATAGATGGTATAATTTTACATTGTTTTGTTACAGTTTTGCTGGTGCACTCATGTATTTGTTGATGTGTTCATCCATAAAAAAAAATGTTGCATTTTTACATTATATGTATATATATATATTCTCACAGTATTTGTTACTTCAGTTATAAAATCGAATAACAATTAGACGTAAAATGTTTTTTTCTTTGAAGACCTTTGACCTTCATCTACTGCAGTAACATTCTGAATAGTACAACTTGTAACAGGTGTTCTTAATTACATGTTACAAACAAATTTTCTTACCACTTCTACCTTGTATTTCACATGTAGATAGAGCAGAAGACAGAATGAAACACAAATTTTCATCCCAGTATGTTGTTAAGCCTTTATCCTAAAAATAAATTTTATAAATATATCATTAAAACATCTTTTTATAACCATTTATTTTCCATAAATCTTATGATTACAAGTTTGTTTCAGATATTTCTACAAAGCTACACAAGGATTATCTGCACTACCCATTAGAAGAAAGGCAGTTCCAACTCTTTAGCCACTTCAATCACATAGTGGGATTTGACCATCACTGTTACAACACTATTAAAAATGTTTTAATGATATCTTTTATTGAAATATTAATAAGGTGTGGAGAGGTCAGTTGGAATGTGAAGATATAAACCATATAATAGAGTATATTCTATTGCATCTAAGTCAGTAAAAAGGAATAAAGAAGCTTAAAAGTGTAAAATAATTGTGAAGTAAAGTGTACAAATAATACCTTATGTTTAGTGTAAAAAATAAATAGTATAAAAGCACATATGTTACAATTAATTACTTTAATGTTTTTATCAGCAGAAGTTTTACTCTTTTTGAAGAGTTAGCTATTCATGTTTTTCTACATTATTAAACTTTACAAGCCAATGTTATGATAGAAATCATAAGCATTTTAAAATATGTACTCAGTATTTTATAATAATCTTGAATCTGAAACGAATTAACCATTTATGAACATTTACTAAATTGTCAAACTAACAAGTTTCAATAAAATAGAAACAAATAGTGAAAACAGTGAACATTGTAGGTTCTTAGACTTAAGATATGCTAGGTACTGATCTACATTTGTAAGCTAAGTCACAAGCACTGGTTCTTGTGTTAGCCTAAGATTAAGTTATTTTAAGCCTAATACATAAAAAGGAAATACTCTAAATATATCATTATTGAAATAATTTTCTTGATAAATGGGAAATTAAATATTATTTCCTATTAGAAATTTAAAGTTCAAGCAGTTTTCCACAATGAGGGGAAAAAGCTGATGATTTAAATTTCCTGTGGCTAATTGCCACAGTTACCAAAACTTTTATAATTTTTTTTGCCCGACAAAACAAAATTATTCTACTACTATCTAATAATATAGGCTAGTATGATACTTAGTTTAAGATTTTAACTGAACAGTGGCACAAAATTAATATTCTTATTAACATTTCACATAAATACATTAAGTCGGAAATGCTGATCAAAGTCTGAATTAATAATGATTAAAATCAATTATGACTTCAAAATACACAATGTTAGTAAATTGAGTTTATACCTAAGATGTAAGTTATGTGTGTTATATTTGCCAAAACAAAGGAGACTTGAGACTTACTGCTCTGTGTTCAGTGATTAGCACTTTGAGTTGTTCTTCTAAGTCAAGACTTGCTTTGGACACATCTATGGTGGAAGCTAACATTGTTGGCCATGAAGGAATTGTTGTGGAAATCAGGGCTATAGCATCAGTAGACATTGACTTCCACTTAGAAGGATCATTTAGATCAAAACAGCATCTTTCAATTGAATCAGTAGGCTTTTAAAAATGAAACAAAAAATGCTCAGAAAATTACCATTTTATAAACAAAGGTATGATGTTATAAATCCACTTGTACAATCTAAATTTTAACTTTATTTTTATAATCCAAATTTGATTATTAACACTATCAATCAGGCTCAGTGTTAGCTATTTTGCTGCCCAAGCAAGTTTTCAATCTGCCACTCCACACCATCCAACTTTACTTTCAATTGTGTAACAAAACCACAGGACTGTAAATCAAATCTATTTACTAAAGCCTGAGGAAATATTACAGTAACTGTTAACACATTACTACTGTGCCAGTTCAAAGTTTTATAAATATTGGAATTTCACTTTTCTTGCTTTTGTTGAGGTAATGTTACACACTGCTTATTTTAAGTTAAATTTTATTCACAAATAAAATTGTTAATTACCAGTCAAACAAGCCTTGCTTGTGTCATGGGTGAATACTCTTGTACATGTATTCCAATACACTTTTTAGTTACTTCCAGAGAGCTTGTAATTCATCACACATTTCTGTTACACTGACATCAGTTGTTTTGCCTCTGATAAGCGAATTCTTAATCTTCTTTTTGACAAGTTAGCAATTCAGCTGTATTTTTGTAGTTGTTGATAAATGTCTCTTCCCAGTTCCAGATAGTATTTATGGATAGGTACTTTAGAGCTTTTCACTTGAAAACTACATATTTTTTTCATTGGTGAATTTTTCTTTTCTTGCAAACGTTTTCCCTTGACTTACATTGCCATCTTTAGGATAGCCAAGTATCCACAACTGTACTGGATTGATTTTGACTAACAACTGTAACACCTTTGAGTTGATTTCTGGCCATTTAGATGAATTACTCAAATAAAATGCATGTGTATTTGTATTTTCTGTGTACCTTTTCTCTATAGAATTGTCTTTGTTATGAGAAATGATGATTTCTTTTATTTCTGAGAAAGCACAGTGGGGAATTGTAGCACTGGTTTTTTTCACTAATTTGAGCAAAAGTAGATTATTGACTTGAATATTGAATGGTAATCTCTTCCAGGGCTTGAGTTTTGTAAAGTTATCAAGTGGAACTCAGTTTCACAATCCCTATAATACACACCTTTTCAAAGGCTTTTGACATTTTGAAAAGTTTGCAAAAAGTCAACAACAGTCTCTTATTTCGATTATTTGATGATGTCACAATGTGTGTTGACAAAAAAAAGTAACTCAATTACAGAAGAATGACATGTCGCAAAGTAGGCCTACAATAAAGTACCGTAGTTGCCAGAATATAATGTAAACCCAATTTTGAAAGGTTAAATTGCAGAAAATTTGTTTTTTTACACATCAGTTGTACAGAATGTACTGAATAGTTTCTAAATTCAGTAAACAATTATCGATGTATTAAACATTTTTGGAAATCTTTCATTGAAATTGTTTTTGTATGTTAATTTTACAAAATTTATTGAAAAGTTTATACGTGGTCATACATTAAGCTAATCATTTATCTTCACATAAATCTTTATCATTGCTAGAATTCTCACTATCATTGGATTCATCAAATTTGCTTCCTTGAACCTTTGCTTCATCCTCTTCTGATTCCCACGGCATGTCATCATCTGTCCCATCCATTACACCAGATATGCAACATTTTATTAAACCTTAAATGATGCCTTAATGATTTTCAGTGGTAGCTTCTAGTAAAATACCTAACAAAATTGAATGTGCACAAACATAATACACAGTCAGTTTTTCAGGAGGTATTTGGAGAAAAAAGTGTGCATGATATTTGGGCAAATACAGTAGGACTGCATAAACAATACAAATTGGTAAGACTGTGATAACTTATCTTTAAACTTACATATGTCCTTGGACATTCTATAACAGGAACATTTTCATAAAAATTTCTAACAAGAGGTGCATTTTTACAACAATTTCTTATAACAGGAATAGTGCTCCAGTTTACTACCCCCTCAACTCAAGCCATGATCTCTTCACCTTCTTTTACAATATTTCACACTGCAAGAACTTTGTGAAGTGGTATTCCTTCATTTTGTTATTAATTATTACTATGTTCCAGTTTTACTTAAGTTTTCCTTTAGTTAACATGTTGCTTGAGTTTGTTTATGCATGATATCAACTAACATTTCATTAAGAGTTAATTATAACACCACTCTCACAGCAAGAAAAAATGACTGACACTGGGTGGCTTTGTAGTTTTTGTCACAGTAGCTAGTCATTTAAATTAATTGGTTGCTATATGTCAATAAGTGTTGCTATGGCCATATGCAAATAAGTTGAACAGATGTTTTGCAGCTGGTACATCTCCCACACTGAGTTGTAATATAGACACCTGGTAGAAAATTAAAAGTGTACACACACAAAAAAAGAAAGCTGAAGAATGCAATAGACAGGTGTTCAAGAATGTACAGTTTTAGATTGGACATTGCTTGAAACTCGACTAGAGTTTGTAAGTGTTGTGATATATAATTAATCATTTGTATTCTATTGTTAAATGGACTTTCTGATAATTTAGAGAGATAAATTTTTTTCTTTCCCATTATTTTTCCTAACTTTTTGTGATAGGTCATACTGTTAAGTCAGAGAAATTTGGAATTCAGTTGTGTTGTTTGTACAAGTCTTGGCCTGGCTATTTAGAAATTGAGTTTAATTCTGTTTAACTAGTGAAATGAATATTCTGTGTTTAAGAATCCTGGCATTAATGTTTCAATTATTCTTAGCATAAAAGAAAATATCTGTTACAACTTATGAAAAAGTGCTGTTGTGGTTTTTCACTTTTTCTGTTTTACTTTGACAATACTAGACAATGCCTACCATCAGATACATTTTTAAGTTCACATGTTAATCAGTTTTCATCTACCACTGTTTTAATTGTAAATTTTTTGCTATCTTGCACTTTTTACAAATTTTTTAAAACTTAAAAATAATTTTATGATAATATTTTTATTCTGTGTGATTCCTGAAAAAGTAACACAATAAAAACTTGCAGTCTTAATTGTGAAACTCGAATCTTGCTTATATACCATGGTGGTCTAGTTTTGAGAATGCTTTAAAAATTCTTAACTGTAATTTTTAAAATATTACGTATGCTGAGTACTTCCTGAAAATGATAAATTTTTCTTGTAAATGGAGAGAAACTGCAATGCTCTGTTCCTGCTGTTCAACTGACTACTTACAACAGACATACCTATCCAGAGGAAATTTAACAGGAGATGTGCAGCAAACTTTGAAATGAATTCATCAGTAAATTTATTTTGGAAATATTTTTTATGTCAACATGAGAAATTTTTACTGCAAATTGAAGGAAACTGCAATGCTCTGTCTTTGCTCTCCAGTTGGCTACCTGCAGCAAGAAAATATAGCAAGAGATGCAATGCTATTAATATGCATTAAACATGGAAATGAATTCATCAGTAAATCTATTTTTGTTCTGCTACTTGGACAATTTCCTGCTTGCAAATCTGATAATGCCAGCCCTGCTTCTTATCTCATTTTCCCAGAAACAACATACAAAGATATCAACAATGATACACTTGCGCTTTGTTCTATAAATTATAAAGTACTGAAAAATATTTTATTCATATACATGTAATGTTCTTAAAAGAATATTTATTACATCTGTTTTTCTTTCTCATTATTCTCTTTGTTTATTGTACATGCTTGTAAATAGCAACTATTTCTACATCATCTGATACAAGTATTTTACTGGCCTTCTCAAATGAAAGTAGGACTTCTGAAGTACACTGTAAGATGAGGTAGTAACTTTTATGTATGAAAGAGCAATTAACTCTAATATCTAGAAGTATGAAAAATTTAATTAAAGAAAAACATAAAAATTACTCTGTAGTCATGTCTTGACACTTCTAGTTTCTTTAATGACCTCTGAATCCTCCTATTTTTGTAAGTCTAACTTTTATTGATTTCTTGGAATGAAATGAAAATCAAGTCTCAATGATTTTACAATTAGTAAAATTTTTAGTAATGGTAAAAATGTTGTGCTATAAGGTAAAAGTCATTTTACATCTCAGAGTTACCTAATTTTCAAGCTTCTAGCACAATAGTGGTAATTATTTTTATATAATCTCATCTTATTTAAGATTTCTTGTATCTCTTACATAAACTTATTCTTCATGTTACCATAGCAGTAACACTGATTACTAAGAAGGTTGATTATAATCTTGTTGGTACTAACAATTTTAAGAACATTTCCATAGTTATTAAACATTTTAATCAGTAGGCTTAATATAAAAAACAACTTGGAATCAAATTGAACATAATAAATTTGTTGTGAGTTTTATACATGACAATTAAAAAAAGTTCACAATAAAAGGATATCATGCAAGGCATAAGTAAAAGCGAAATAAAACTAAATATTTTCATATTTGGTGATTTCTTTTTGTCCTACTGGACAAACTAAACATTCATTCCAGAACAAGCATGCAGCTATTTTGATGATAACACAGGTTACACAGTTATCATGGACAAGCCCTAAAACTCATAGCAAATGATAGAGAGAAGCATTGAGAGCAAGACTATTATGATATAATGGACACTGTTTATTTAAGATAAAGTATTCCTACAACTAAATTGAATAACAATTGAGATATCACTTTAAAATATTTATATAGTCAATATAGAAATTTAGAATTGTTATAAAATCACTTAGCTTATCCTAACACCCATAACAACAAAGTAATCATTAAAGCTTGAATATTTTGTAGATGAACTAATCATATAGGAAAGGCTTTGTTTCAAAAATTCATGTAAAACTATATGAGGGCTATATGCACAAGAAATCTCTAATTTCAAACTGACAGAGAAGGCAGCTAATCAACAGTAACCATCTCCAATTCTTGGGCTACTCTACTCAAATAGTGGGATTTGACCATCACTCTTATAATCCACTCATGGCCCAAATTCAGTTGTTTTTATGTGCCATGATGTAAACTATAGATCCTTGGATTCACTGTCCAGAATTCTAACCACTAAACCACACCAGGCCTAAGACAAAAATCAATTTAAATAATTGTCACTTGGGAATACTGGTCATGATATCAGTACAGACAACATGTTAATAATGTTCAATATGACCACAGTTATGTCCACAATATTCCAAGTGAACTTTTATTGATTTCATAGATTAAACATATATATATATTTATATATAGTGCCTGCAACTTCATTGGCTTCCAAATACAATACCTACATTCAAAATTTACCTAATTAATATGTGCTTAAATTTCTTCTATATAAACTTTCATAATAGTGAATGAATTGGAGCCATTTCACAGGGAACATTCTTTTCAAAAAACATGTTTTTACACTTAAGCAAGCCTATAGAATGTCAGTAATTTGCAAATGAGTGTCTGGTAGCATATATATATGAAATACACTAATAAACTTTCATGCATAATATTAACAGTTAAGAATTGTTATTTCATTAAGCTCACAATTATGTATGCAAAAACTTACCTGACAATTGGCAAAAAAACTTTGATGATTAAATATACAGCCAACTGTCTTAAAAGGATGCTTGGGCTTCATTGTTTTACTGCAATCTTTTTGTGCTGAACAATGCTTATACCTGTAAGTATTGCAAACATATGTTTTCTAAAATTATTGTAAACAAATCTTTGTGACTGCCAAACATTATAATAAAATGTCACTAAACACAGAATAACTCATAGAATGTATCTCTCTCTCTCTCTATATATATATATATCACATTACCGTTTTTGGTCCAAGTTGTCATAGCAGATAATGTCTGTGGCAGTAGCACCCAAATGTGTTGACGATATCCCATCTAGAGTTGAGGTTGCGAGTAAGAACTTTTAAAACAGGGTTTATAGTTCTATTATCCGCTATTACAATAAGTTGACTACCTGGACCAATAACAGTAATGCCATATTTTTAAGTCATTATTGTTTTATAGTGCTGATTC